GGCGGGGGGATTGGGGAACTGATAGTCCTTGATAGTACTACTTAACGATACTGGCGACCCGCGCGGCAGAGTACTCGTCCTAATAAGAAATAAAGGCGGTCTTTGTACACGTAGCGATTGATACTACACATATACACATATATATCCTCGGAATTACTACTCCACGTATTTTAGCTGGGAGGAAGAAGTGGCCCGTTCTTTCCCCCCCCCCTCCCCCCGGGGGAAAATCATTAACGGAAAAACGTTTTCCCAAACCCGGATCGTTTTTTGTTACATTTATGTCACAGGGGGAGTGGCGGTGTGTGTGGGGGGGATGTATGTACTCACCTATGTTTGTCCGCTTGGCCTGCCCTCCACTGATACCCTTGGACAGGGCGTTGCCAATCTGAAGAGGAGGGGCAATCAGGGGCCTTCGGGTTTGGGGAAGGTTGAGTTGGGGATTGCTGTGCTGTGTGGGTCCAGTACGGCATGTACGGCGTTAGCCGACGTCATCGCACATGGGTTACTCCAACGGCAATCTCGTACACATCTTTTCTAAGGTGTTTTCGTCCAACCACCCATTTCCGTGCACCCTCGCTATCACACGGCCGCTATCCAAAACCCGCATCCACTATTGATTCATTCATTCACCCATTCATGCGCCCCTGAGCACTACCACGACCACCACCACGACCACCACCACCACTGCCGTACCTTGACGTCCCGACACCGGCTCAGCGCCAGCTTGTCCAGCAGGTCCTCCACCGCGCGCTTCTTGGACTCCAGCGGCTCCGAAACCGGCCGCTTCAGCTCGGCCGTGTACAACAACATCTCGTACACCGTCAGAATGCCCAGCAGCGTGTCGAACTGCACCAATAAATTTATTTTATTATTACTTTGTTGTTTACATAATACATCATCGGACGGATGTGGATTGCCAGAAAAGGTTAGAGGGGAGTCGTCCCCGCGACTAACTAACGACGGGTTCCAAACCGTCGGAACCAGATCAGATCAAAGCACCCACACCGGAAGGACCGAGGGCAATATTGGGGGCCGGGGGTGGGGAAAGACGAACCACGAGGTGGCGAAGGGGAAGGGGGGATGGAAACGAGCCTCCCCCCGCGTCACACACACACACGTGGCTGTCGAGACCGCGGAGGTGTTACGGTAGGCCAGTCTTGCTGTCATACAAACAGCCAGCCGGACGGACACAGCTGGCCCCAAGAAACGTACGGACGAAACACACACAGACACACACACAGACACACACATATATATAGTCTTTCAGACGTTGGATTGCGCAAAATGAAGGTACAGTTTACAATTCACAAATCGCAGGACCCTGAAGAAGGGCAGCAATGGGCTCCTCTGGTCTTCGTAAAATATACCCTATTTGAGCTGCTGCCGTACATATACCCCCAGCAGCTTCCGGGACCTTTTCACCCCCTAACACCAACACCAAAACACCCATCCCCGCAGAACCTCTATCACTTTCAAAACCTCCTGTCCTCCCCCTCCCCTCCCCCCGGGCTGATCCCCCGTGCACCTGTTCCACGTAGCCTACAGCGATAGAGGAGGGGAGGGGCGGGGCGGGGAGGGGAGGGCGGGGGAGGGGCGGGGAGGGGAGGGCGGGGGAGGGGCGGGGAGGGGAGGGGAGGGCGGGGGAGGGGGAGGGGAGAAGATAGAAGTTGGTGTGTCAGTTAGGGGCCATAAAAATGGGGTAGGGGCCAATGGTTGGGGGAGGCCATGATCCAAATATATATCAAGGGGCTTGACATGCGGGCCTTGTGAGAGCCGTTACTCAGGCTCAACAGATAAAGGTTTAAGACTGTTAGGAATGTGAATAGAAGTTGTGGGATTTAATATAAGCAATCCGCCAGCCCCCAACTCCCCACCCACGTAATCGCCCACACTTGTCACCGTCTTACACCCCCTCCCTCCTCTTCCCCCCCCCGCGTCCACCGCGGCGTTCCCGGCCACGCACACACACACGCACACACACGCACACACACTCACATCACATTCACACGCCGACAACCCAAATCCCAAGGTAATAATGTCCATGCTAAGAACACAAGGATGCACAGGTCGCCCATTGAACCTCGTCAGACCTCATGATTAAAAAACTTGGCCGCCACGCAACCCTCCCCCCCCCGCACCCCCCAAAAAAAATCCTAGCCTCTCGATTGTCGCCTTACCTGTGTAGCGCCTCAGGAACTGCGGGGTGGGCTTCTGGCCAGCGAATGCAACGGTGCCTTCAGTGACACCTGCATTCTTGCGACCTGCCAGCACGTCCAATAGAGTGGTCTTGCCGCTGCCGCTGGGCCCCATCTGGCGAGATTTGAGGAGGGGAGGGGGAGGAGGAGGAAAGTGAGGATTGCCAGCTACCCATGTCCCCCCGCGACTGCTGTTGTTTGATCGCTGTTGACCGATTTTAATCTCGGATGGAGTTTGGACTGAACAAGGCTACATCGCGCGTCAGCATGAGAGCGGATGCGGGCAAGGCGCACCGGCCGGCTGCTCGAATTTAATTTTCCTTATGGGAAGGTTATACTTACCAAGGCAGCCATCTGGTGAGCTTCGAAGTAGCCAGCCACCTTTTTGAGCAGGAATGCGCGTTCGCCCTTCTTGTGGTGAGATGGGACCGAGTAGTCCAGGTCCTGGCAAGAACGGCAATTCCAAAGGCTCCCATTTTTATCCGGTAAAGTGAGACAGCATGGGTAACGTTATTTAGCTAGCTTCGCGTAGGAATAGCTAACTTTAAATTGAGGCCACGCATTAGCTTTGGGACAGTATATTGACGGCGGCCCCGGTTCATGAATGTGCACCAATAATACTGCTCCAGACGCATAGCTTTTGCTACCCGTCTGGACGCCGTCAGCCATGATGTCCCCAAAACCAAGCCGACGCTCAACAGTTCGGTCGTCCTTGAACTAGACGGCCTAACCTGCAAATAGTTCAAATGCGACCTTTCCTCTTACCTTGAACACAATTCGCATCCCCATAGGCGCAAATGTCTTTTCCCTTTCGACGCGCCTGGCTCCATCGGCAACTCCAGCCTCAACGTCCAAAGGTTGCGTCGCATTGACGGTCATCTTCAGACCGAGGTAGAATGTAATGCTAGTGCCCAAGCAAGACTCGCAGGAAGTGGCGAGCTTGAGGGCTTTGCTACGCTCGCTGTAAGCGCTTGCACTCTGTACTCAGCTGCTCCGGAAAACGATGCGCAAAAATTTTCCACAGTAAAACTATGTACTTCAGGAAATCGGTTTATGGCTCGGATGGTGCTGTTCAAAGCCACATTACGCCATAGGGTTTCAGGGTTACGCACTAAGCTACCAGAACCTTACTAACATTATGCTGCATATACAGTTTATGACACAAAATTCTGTATCAATGCACCATTTGCTCTAAATTGCTCCAAGGTATCGTAGGAAGCAAAAGAGGTTGCGCTAGGAACCGTTGAGGGGAACGATCACGCGTTCACATATGGAATTCCAAGAGCAAACGCATACCTTACCTAAATACATTATAACCAAAACGACTCACACATGGCCAGCGCGTGAAAGCTGATAGCCGCGCCGCTAAGAACCGCAACCACCTTAACTACCATAAACTTGCGACTGACGGAGCTTTAGGTTTTCTAGAACGCACAAGATGCGTCCATCTCCATGACGTCACATCTCCTGGGTTGTAAAACTGTGAACCTCACACATGTAATGGGAATGAGAGGTTAGATGTCGATGTGCCCGGGGGACGACTTCTAAGCGCTGACATGTTGAGCACATGTGGAGCACTGCATCCCAAAATTGCCCTTATATAATAACTCTGGAAACGTGTGCGCTCCTTTGCACGAGCGTACGCAACATGCTACGTGCTCATATTGTCGGTCATAACATTTACGCACCACATGGGTCCTGCTGAAGAGGGCTGATGTCGAGCGTGGCTGTTAGGAATGGTGTGAAGGGGCAGTAGAAAGCCATGAAGCAGTGTGGACGGAGGATGATCGCGACTTGGAAAGAGGGCAGCGTCTTTAAGCAGGTATTATGTCATGTTGGCTTGTCTCTCGGCCCCTACGACCTGGGCGTGCTCGCCAGATGTCCGTCTCGCGACATGCAAAGTGAGCTGACGTGCGCAAGCACCAGGCCCGAAAGCTACTGTCATCGTATGTCAAGACGTGTTACCCATCTTGACCGCAACACTTTGGCAAAAGCACGCTTTGATCCAGAAGGATTTTGAAGTCTTCCATGCCAACGAACTAACCAACCAGGGCGACAACGATCTTACTCGACATTTTGGGATTAAGCTTTCTAGCTAGCTTTGCATTGCATTTGCACTTGATTTATTGATGCTAATGTCTCCAACAGGAGTGCCTTTCTAGGGCATTTCCTATATGTTGGCCCTTTACGTTTTACTTCGCACCGCGTAATATACTTCCAATAGCAAGCTTGCACTGTATTTTATTTTAAATGCGAGCTTGCAGCACTGGCGGTGCGCTTGGAGCCCGCCTGGCACGCTCCGGGCCATCCGTTTGCGAAGTCGCACGGAGATATCCCGGCGCTGCTTCGACTCTACGCTTGCCTCTTCAAAGTACCGCCTCAGATCGTGTTGCGGTCGCCGCTTCGGGCTCCTGCCGTGCTGCTTCGTGTCTGGGAGGAGCGGCATGGAGCATCTCTCTCTCAACCCTCCGACCTGGCGCAGCGCCGCAGGCCATTCGAGTCAGCCGCGGACAATGGCACGCAACTCAGAGGTTTTCACCTTTGCTGCTAGCTCGCCCGACAGTTGGCTTTCGGGGAGCAGGTGCGGGATGCAATTCTAGGGATGGCCACGCAACACCAGTCGCGACGTGTAATGCAACATGGCATCTAATAATATGGCGCAGATCTGTGCCGTACTTACGCCAACGGAAACGGGAACATATATACATATATATCCATGCAAACATACATACACACACCAACACGCGCTGGCAGGGCCTGCTGTTGTTGTGCATTCTGAGGGTCATTAAGAGGACAGGGTTGTCAGAGGAATATGGGGAAAGCGGGTGTGTTTGTATCCTTGTCGTGAAGGTGTGGGTTTGGGTTTTACAAAAAAAACATCGCATCCAACCGTGCCGTACCATCCGCCGTACCAGCTTCAGAACAATACCGCGTCATCAGGATCTCCCCACCCTCACTCACGTCTTGTCGCTCTGAAGAGACAGGCGGGCCACCGCTGCTGATGCATCCTTAATTGCCCAGATGAATAAACTTAATCTTCGAAGACTGTGCTAAAGAAAAAAAAGACTTTGAGATTCTAGAAGTTACCTCCAACGGTGTAGAAACCACGCAACCTCAAACCCCGCAATCTCCGAAACCAAACCCTTGCAAAACCCAACTTCGATCCCCAAACCCGGCCCGAACACCTTCGCAGCTGCGACCGCAGCCGCTGAGCCGCCAGATGCTGGTTCCGGAGCGGGTTGTCCCGCCCCCTCCTCCTCCTCCCTTTCCGCCGCCACCGCCGCCGCCGCCGTTGAGCAGCCGCCTGCCGCCTTCCAACCCTTTCCCACAAGTCCCACCCCCGGGGGCGATCCCATAAACCCCGCCAGCCCTAACGGCTACAAACTGCCGCCGCCGGAGATAGCGACCATTGTGGATGCGCCAGCGCAGCCGTCATTGTCGTACTCTCCGGACAGGAAGACGGTAGGATCAACGGTCGATCGTACGACGGGGAATAGACAATCTAGCAGTATGTAATGCGACTGCTAGTCACGACAATGCTGTCCCGACGAGACAACACACCAACACCGCCATTTCCCCCTTCCCCCTCCCTCCCCCTCTTTTTTCCCCCTCTCCCCCCCTCCCCCGCGCGCGAGAACGTCGGCAGCAGTTGACCTTCTGCTTTGCAGGTTTCCTTGGTGCCGTACACTTTCCTGGAACCCATTTCACCCCACGAAATGCCTCCTCCCTTTATTTCCTAACACACGCACATACACACACACCGCGCTGTACGACGACCCCTCCGCAGTTCCTCCAGCTTACTCGGCCGCCCTCCCTGCCGCCAATCCTCGAGATGTCGCGACCCGAACTTAAACTGGCTGGATTGCGCGTGGATCCAGATCTATACGCCCGCAGCAAAATGAGTTACTACACAGGTACGTCAAATGTACGGATGGGCGTGTCGTACACGTGCATTTGGGAGGTGTTCTGTTCATGATGTTGTTGAGCCTGATCAGGCACCACTCTTTCGCTCCTTCGTCCTTTATGTTTTTCTTCTCCATGCGTGGCACGTATCCTCGTGGTAAAGTGTCCCGAATACGGCTCGGCTGAAATTCCGTTGTTGCTTAATCAGGCATCTCCATCGTGCCCGCCACGGAGGTCGTACCTGCCCCTGCCGACAAGTGCCGTACACTGACGGGCTTTCCAGCTGGATCCTGGATCAACTACGTTAGCTGGAGTCCCGACGGCACCCACATTGCCTTCACAGTACGTACGGTACATTGCGCAGTACAACGTGACGTACATGGCATCGTACAGCTTGTCGTACAAAGTAGGGGGTGCTAGATACGGGGGCCATGGCAACCAGTCGTGGCTCCTGGCACCGCACGAAAGACACAGCTACACATACAGACGTACGACATAAAATACACGGCACAAGATGTCAATGTAAAAAAACCCGCGAACGACACGAAACCTCGAAAAATTCTACCCTCGCTATAATATTGCCAAAATTGGCAATCCCTTCCCGCAGCCCTACCACTCACCTGGGGTTTCAATCATCTTCAAAACCCTAAAACCCTAAGCCCTGGTTTAAATTATTTCAAAAAGAAAAACTTTGAAACCTGAGAATGAAGAGAGTGTGTTGAGTGTTGTACGGCATGGGGGTTTCGGTTTCGGCACCCCCAGGTTCGCAGCCCCGGGGCCCCCGGCGATCCCCCCCGGGGCCCCCTCGAGCTTTGGATCGCCGATCCCCACACGGGGACGTGCCGACCTGCGCTACGACACCCAGCGGCCGCCGCCGCCGCCGCCGCCGCCGCCATGCCGCTGGGCCTGCCGTACCGCGGCCTGAACACCGTGTTCGATGACTACGCGTGGCTGGATGACGATACGCTGGTGGCTGCCGTACTGCCGGACGGGCTGACGGCGCCGCCGCCGCCGCGGCCTGCGACGCCGCCAGGCCCAAAGGTCACCGACAACACGGCCGGCAAGAAGGCTCAGAACAGGACGTGGCCGGACCTTCTCAAGGTGCGTGTTGGGGGTGTTGGGGGCTCGTCCCCTTGCGAGTTCTGGGGATAGGGGGTTATGGGGTTTCGAGGGGGGGAGGAGGGGGGGAGGGGGGGAGAAATAGGTAGACACCAGGCCCTTGGGGGGACTCAGTCAGCGGCCACACAGTCCAAGACCAAAACCCAAGACGCCCTGCCCGCCGCTCCTTCCTCCGCCCGCCTTCTGTCCACTTTTCCCGCCACTTTTCCCGCCACTCGCCTCCCAACCCCTTTGATGTGTAGATGTGTGGATGTGTGGATGATATAACCGCCCGCGCTGTTCTTAAAAAAACGAAAATCTCCAAAGCCACTTTTGAATTCCTCCAGTCTTATTTTAAGTGCTTTCCGCTGTACAGGACGAGTACGACATGGCGTTGTTCGAGCACTACGGCATCAGCGAGCTGTTGCGGCTGAATGTACGGACGGGGGAGGTGGCGGTTATAGGGCCCCCGAGGATGTACATCGAGTAAGTTGGTGCCTCAAAAGTTAGTTGGTTAGTTGGTCGGTTTCTTAGATCCGGACGCAGATCCGGACCCAGATCCGGCAGATTACTTTCTAATTATTCTAAAAGAATCCAGCTCTGCAAGGAACCCCCTTGCTTTGCTCAGCTACCCCCTCCTGCGTTCCCGCGCTTTCTCCCCCCCTCCCTCTCCCCCCCTTCCCTTCCCTCCCCCCCTTCCCTTCCCTCCCCCCCTTCCCTTCCCTCCCCCCCTTCCCTTCCCTCCCCCCCTCCCGGGGATTTGAAAACCCGACATCTTCGTCGTCATCGTCAGGTCCTTCGCCTCTTGCGGAATTAATTTAATCATTTTTTGCTCCCTCCCCCCCCCTTACATAAGCTCCACTGGATTCTTTCCAATGCCTCCCCTCTACCCTACTGGTCAGTTCTGCTTCTCTTTCCTTGGCAGCAGCTTCACTCGTTCGTGGCTCGTCTTTCCCCTCTTCCCCCCTCTCCCCTCGGTGACGTCATCATCGCTTACGACTCACCGGGGGCAGTTCCGGATTTTGGACGCCGTACGGTTTAGCTCATTTTTGGTTTCCATGTTGCATGTGTGATCTGTTTCCCCTCCTCGCCAAATTAACCTTTTACATATGTTGCATTATTCTAATATTTTACAATATTGTTCTTCTCACTTTCTCTCTCACTACCCCCTCGCGCCCTCCTTAAATAGAACGGATCCCTCGCCGGACGGTCGATACCTCCTCGTCACGTGGCTGGAGAAGCCGTACAGTACGGCAGTGCCGTGCGGCAGGTTCCCGCGCCGTACACAGCTATGGTCCCGAGACGGCACTCTGGTGAGAGGAGTGACGGAGAGGCCCCTCTCTCTCCCTTTCCCTCCTCTTCCTCCTTCTGGGGGTCCCACTACCACGACCACCACTACTGGCCCCCCACCCCACCCCCCTTGTACACTCTGTCCTTGGCAGCAGCTCCTCTCGCCAGTGGTTCGTCTTTCCCACCACCACAACCACCGCCATACGGCGGTAGTTCTCCCCGCCCTAACCCCACCCCTGCGCCCCTCCTCGCCCCCGCCCCGCCCTAACCCCATCCCTGCGCCCCTCCTCTCTCCCGCCCCGCCCTAACCTCACCCCGGATTCAGGTCCGTGAGTTAGCCGCACTCCCCCTCGCGGAGGACATCCCCATCGCCTTCAACAGCTGCAGAGCCGGACCGAGGTGGGTCGGTGGGTCAGTGGTGGGGGTCGGTGGGTCAGTGAGCGCGCGCGCGAGTGTGTGTGTATGTATGCGTGCCGGAAGGGGGGTTAGAAAGAGGAAGGGGGGAAAGCGGCCTGGCGGCGGGTGGGTTGCTCTGTCTTCTACCTGTCCGTTTTATCCACTCCATATGTTCTACATGCCGTACGTGACGGTACGAACACAGGGGCATCAGCTGGCGGGATGACGCGCCGTCGGAGGTGTATTGGTTGGAGGCTCAGGTACGGCAACTCCCTGGACCCTTCCGTACATTGAAACTCTATACTTGCAGGTGCACTTCAACACAGGATAATTGACCGGGCGATTAGGGGGCCCGGGAGACACAACTTCGCAAAAAGTACACAGCCCCGTACAGCGCCGTACCACATGATAAACATGGCCGTACGTTTTTCAGAAATTAGGTCCTAAAAATGTTCTTATGTCATAATTTTGCCACGTGTTATACAGGACGGCGGCGACCCCTCGGTTGAGGTCTCCCCGCGCGATGTCGTACTGGCCCTGACAGCGGAGGATGCCGCCGATCCTGCCGTACAACCACGTCAGATTGCCGCCACGGACTTGCGCTGCGGCGGTGTTGCCTGGCGAGTATATGTGCGCGTGTGTGTGTCACAGTGTGTGTATTTCCCCCTCCCTTTCTCCCCGGGAACACGCATGCCTAGGGTTTAACCCCGTGTCGTACTTTGTTGACATGTCGTACAGCTGCTTATTTGCTCGTCCACTTGATCATTCATACGTAACTCCCCCTTCCCACTTTCATCGGAAATCCTCGGCTCACTCGCACGTACCCTTGATCCCCTCCCCCACCCCTTCCAAGGCACGCACTCACGCACTCACGCACTCACCTAAATTACCTCCCGCTTGTTCTCAACTTTCTCCCCTCCCCCTCCCCCCTCCCCTCCCGTCGCGTGTAGGTGTGACGGGGAGTTGGCCATCGTGTTTGAGTCCTGGTACAAAACACGGAGAAGCGTCTGGTGGCGGTTCGCGCCGGACCAACCTCGCGAGCCAAAGACAGTCATATTCGACAGGTGGGGGGGCGCCAAAGGGGGGTATGGGGGGGAGATGGGGTTGGGGGCGGGTAAAGGCGGGTTTTATAATGTCCAGAGTGATCGGCAACTGTGGCCATGAAGCGATTGGGGGGAGTGGTGGGGTGATTGGGGTAAAGGCGTGTGTTGTGTGTGTGTGTGTGTTTGTTTTTGTGGTGCAGTATGCGAGTGGGGGGGTGGAAGTGAGCGATGGGCTTGAATTTGCAAGTTGCTGTTTCGTGTTCATCGTATGGGTTTTTGTGTTGTCGTACGGTGCCGTACAGGAACTACGAAGACGTGTACGGCGATCCTGGATCTCCCTTAACTCGCCGTACTCGTTGGGGCACGTACGCCATCGCGCGGGTGACCCCCGACCCCGTCACGTTGACGGCG